AAGAGAAAGAGAGAGAGAGAGAGGGAGAGAGAGACAGTGACAGAGAGAGAGAAGGAGAGAGAGTGACAGAGAGAGCCAGTGACAGAGAGAGAGAGAGAGTGACAGAGAGAGAGAGAGATAGTGACAGAGAGAGAAAGAGAGAGAGATAGTGACAGAGAGAGCTTGAGCTAGTGACAGAGAGAGTGAGAGAGAGAGAGACAGTGACACAGAGAGAGAGAGAGGGGGAGAGAGAGACAGTGACAGAGAAAGAGAGACAGTGACAGAGAGAGCCCGTGACAGAGAGAGAGAGAGAAAGAGAGAAACAGTGACAGAGAAAGAGACAGAGAAATCCCCAAGGGCCAGAACACAGAACATGCCCAGAAATCCCCACGGGCCAGAAGCCGCAGGCAAGGCGGGGCTAATCGACCAAATTCGTTCGCCCGGAACATGCGCAAAATTCCCTCGGGCCAGTAGCGTCAGGCTACTCGACCGAGATCAGGCTAGCCACTCCGTAAAAGAAAACGGACTAAAAATAATCTGAAAATAACCACAATACAAACTCCATACAAGAAGAGACACATGGGTAAAAATTAATCTTTATTTGAAACCTAAGACTAGTACAAGTAAGCCAAGAAAGTAAAGTATAAAGCTGGATCAGACAGACGGTTCACTCCATTCAAAGGTACAAAGGTGGGATCGAAGAAGATTTCGTTAAAGCAAAATACACTAACATTTTAATTATTACACTGGAACTGGGACAAAATACAGATGTCGTATATGATGATTCCACAATTTCTATTGGCTTCCCACTATTGCTTTTTTGACAATTTAATGTGACCTTTTCGTAAAAAATTTGTAGCACTGGTCATTTCTGTGATTTAAGCATTAAATTATCAATTATAACTATAACTTAGATGATGTTCAATGGTCTCCGTTTGTAAGAACCCAGCCCATCGAAGAACCCGCCCTTCCAGCGTGACAGAATTTTTTCAACACAGATATTTATAAATACATGCCTAAGAACCTGCTATATCTTGTTTTCTTTCATCTGTTCATGGCTAAAATAAGGGAAAAAAAGCAAATAAATTTGTTTCATCTTCTTGGTTTTTTTTAGCATGCAGGTCTAAAAGTTTGGTGACCAACAGAATCTAAAGCCCCTTTTTTATGAAGGTCACTGCAAAATAAGGTTCTGACACGTTTTCTTTGATGTCAGCCTAAAGTGGGTACAAAACATAAAGGTGGTTTACAGCAAGCACTGAAAACACAATAAAGTTGATATGTAACTTCCAACCATTGTTCCGATAATCCAAAGGAAAAATCTACTATAGACTTAGTATGCACGCTTGGAAAGATTGTTTACGAACGCACGTGGCTGGGGATGCCTACCGATGGCATTCTTTTAAGTTTAAAGTTTTCAATTGGTTCCCATGAGTTTTCCACTCACAAGACCTCAGTCAAGTCAGAAGATAATGCATCAGGATCGCCCATATATTTCAACCACGAATAATCAATCAGGGCAGGATACATCAATGAGTGCCAGGAAGAAAACCAGTGGAAACTGAGTGGTGACCCTTGAAATCCATCTATAAAACCATGTCTGCTCTAGATCTACCTAGGAGGAGAACTTGCTTGTTTTGTCTTCCGTGGACCAAGTTCTAATGTGGAGACCACTGTATTAAGACTTTGTTAAACTAAACATTCTAAAATTCCATGAAAGCAAGGAAAAGGAGCAAGTTGCTATGAATCATGAAAACTAAAACTCCACACTGAACGAACCCAAACTGCTGATGAACAGCAGTCGATCTGCGTACACAAGGAGGCGCTATTCCTATTATTCTTATGGAAAAACGAAAGAGAGCTTCAAAACAGACTGCAGCGCCATCTGAAGCAAAGAGCGAACTTCCGGCGGACACTTTTTTGGCTGAGTGGCCCATTTTGTTACGTACTATCTTTGACTACAAAGTCCAAATCTCATCTACGTAAAGTGATTAAATGATACAATATCACCTCTAAGAATTAAAATAAAAGCAATAGTAATTCATAGTATTGATGAAAATGATGAATAACACTAAAGCACGAGCATTTGTAAAATGTAAAAAAAATATACAAGATGTTATTTCAACAATTCTTTGAAACAACCATAACATTTGGCACTAGAACTACCATAAAAGGAAGGCAGCAGAGCAAGCGGATGCGTATGTCGTGTTTTACTATCGTATCCATACGATGTGGGGAACTCTGTGCCCCCACTTTTCAAAGAGGAAATTTACTTGATAATCCGATCTGTATGCTTTGCATAGCAGTCTGTCAAAATGATTTTTTGAGAAATAGTGAAAGTATCAAGGAGATCTTCGCACTAGAAGTATTCTAAAATGTAAAGGATACAACCCCTGGAGTACAAAATGACCCCAGGCGTACGGATACGATTAAAGTAAATCTTTATATAATCACAAAGGGTGGTTAAACTAAACCATGACTAAATACAATAACAGTGGGCCCTGGCTATAATAAAACAGAACCATCTGCACTGACAAAATATCCCTGTTATTATCAAATCCTTTTATAGAAGGGGATCCAGTTTACCTACACTGTAACTAATGATTTACAAATGGGATCAATTTTATTAAATGAATTACCCTCTGCCAATTTATCTCTTATTTTTCTTTTTTTCTAATATCTTATTCTCATTAACTCACTTGCGGCTGGGCCCTTTCACCAGCCACAAGCGTTGAAGACTGGCGTTTTGGGGGGTATTTCAATAAATCACCACAACTCTCAGAATTACCCTATTGTAATCATGTTTTGACACAGTAAAGTAACATTCAAGCTTAATCTAATACAAAAAACTAAAGTTGTCTAAGTCTAATACTTTAATTTGTATGATTTTTTAAAAATTGGCATGAATTTGATTTTCGAAAAATTTCCAGAGACGTGACAAGTAGAATGAAATTCACTGCAACAACAAAAATAAAAGTTCAAAGTGTTCTGGTTTGATTTGTATACATGTGCAAGTGTTTGGTGAAAATATAAAAGCTGGTCTGTGCATTGATTCAGACCCATACACTGAATTACATGAGACAGATGTACGGCACGACGTTGTGATTTCGTTGCGCGAAAAACAACACCGGTACTAGTGCTAGATCTAGCCCTAGAACTACGACTCGGGCCGTGTTCGGGTACATATCCAGGATCCTAACTATTAGACACATCATATTCTGAGACACTAGAACTAGTAAAACGCACAGAAGTATAGAAAACGGCGAAATTATGTGATTCTTGTTCATGCGACTTCTTCGACCGTTACTACGACGCGACTGTCGGATTACTATGAGCTGTATAGAAAAAAACAAAGCGCGAGTTCCGGTCCGTTCAACCCCAGTTGGGGTCACTGTCCTTCACCTTCAATAACTTAAAAACTACCGGCCCCAGAGATACGAAACGAAGTCTAAGTAGCTCAGGCTTGGCCAAACAAGGGTACGAGGCGGGTCTCGCGATCCGTGCGTGATTTGTAGAGCGAAAAAAAAATTCCAAAGTTGGTCACGCAAGGCTTGTGAGACCCGACGCGAGCGTCATGGCGGGGGTCACGCAACTGTTGTGTGACCCGTCTGAAGTGAGTTAAGGGGAGGAGCGACCCTTGGTTTTGCAGATTTTGGGTCAGGCTGTGCAAATTTTCTGTTGGCTGATTTTTCAAGATCAACCAGTTTTTTGTCCAAAAATAGCATGGATACATTTGAGAAAGTGTTTATTCTCCACGTAAATTGCCTTTAAAAACATGACGATGGGTTAATATAGTGAATTTTCACAATAATAGTCAGTTTTCGCAAAATGTATTTTTTTTGCCGTTTTTTCCCTACTCCTTCCTTAGTTTTCATCATTTTGACATGAAACTTTTCAGGAATGTGAACACACATGTCTGTTTAGTTACGTAAAATGGAGAAATAAAGTCACGATTAAACCAGTATGTAAAAAGGCTAGGGCAACAACATGATCTTTAAAATCTTTTTTGGATACCAAGAACTGTTTTAATTTAACTCACTTGCGACTGGGCCCTTTCACCAGCCACAAGCGTTGAAGACTGGCGTTTTGGGGGGTATTTCAATAAATCACCACAACTCTCAGAATTACCCTATTGTAATCATTTTTTGACATAGTAAAGTAACATTCAAGCTTAATCTAATACAAAAAACTAAAGTTGTCTAAGTCTAATACTTTAATCTGTATGATTTTTTAAAAATTGGCATGAATTTGATTTTCGAAAAATTTCCAGAGACGTGACAAGTAGAATGAAATTCACTGCAACAACAAAAATAAAAGTTCAAAGTGTTCTGGTTTGATTTGTATACATGTGCAAGTGTTTGGTGAAAATATAAAAGCTGGTCTGTGCATTGATTCAGACCCATACACTGAATTACATGAGACAGATGTACGGCACGACGTTGTGATTTCGTTGCGCGAAAAACAACACCGGTACTAGTGCTAGATCTAGCCCTAGAACTACGACTCGGGCCGTGTTCGGGTACATATCCAGGATCCTAACTATTAGACACATCATATTCTGAGACACTAGAACTAGTAAAACGCACAGAAGTATAGAAAACGGCGAAATTATGTGATTCTTGTTCATGCGACTTCTTCGACCGTTACTACGACGCGACTGTCGGATTACTATGAGCTGTATAGAAAAAAACAAAGCGCGAGTTCCGGTCTGTTCAACCCCAGTCTGGGTCACTGTCCTTCACCTTCAATAACTTAAAAACTACCGGCCCCAGAGATACGAAACGAAGTCTAAGTAGCTCAGGCTTGGCCAAACAAGGGTACGAGGCGGGTCTCGCGATCCGTGCGTGATTTGTAGAGCTAAAAAAAAATTCCAAAGTTGGTCACGCAGGGCTTGTGAGACCCGACGCGAGCGTCATGGCGGGGGTCACGCAACTGTTGTGTGACCCGTCTGAAGTGAGTTAACATTATCACACAAGTACACCCTACACATCAACACATCCGTAGTAAGTACAAACAGACAAAGATCAAAGAAACATCAAAAGATTTATCTCAATTAGCTGCCTGTGAAACTTGCTCAGTGTTCGTTACCTGCAAACCACTCCAAGACCAAAATTAGTTTCCCTCCTCAAAATCCTCCATGAGTTCAGCAAGGACGGAATGGATGCCATGACAGCCTAGGAGTCACACAATCCTTCATCCTGAAAAAGCATAAAGAGGAGAGAACAAATTTTAGGATCCAAGATACTGGGCAGGAGGGCAGCTTATTTAACTTATGTTCAAATCAAAACCAAATTAAAACAAAATATTATGAAATGCAACATGTAGGCCTACAATATAACTTAAGATGCAACAAAGTTTACATATTATATGGCAAGCAACTGTCATCTTTGTTAGTAGTTTTTGTTAGTGGGTTATTTTATTTATAATCACATTAGAATACAACATTTTTTAAAGTAAAAAAAACCTCAACCAGATCTAATGTTTTTTTGTCAGGATGTATTTTCTTGATAACCTGACCCACGAACTTTATTCCTCTTGTTGCTCACTGCACCCTCCCCCCTCCCCCCTCCCCCAGGATTTTTTGGATTAATTTCGTATCTTATGGATGGATAAGATGCTGGGTGACTTTGAAGCCCTGCTTATTAGGTAAAAAATTGAATCTTATACCAATGATATATATCATAGTTAGTTAATGAAATTAATACAATTTCCTCCGAATATTTTATTAGGATGTGCCTGATCATGGAGTCGGTATCGCATCTGACACAAAATGTTCTTTTCTCTCCCTGCACAAGGTATTTATGTGTCAGTACAGGGAGGTATGTCCAATACGTTATTCTGTAAGAATAACTTCATCTCTTCGCTGGAGAGACCTGGGGGTCTTCGAGGACCCAACTTGGGTTTTATATTGGATTACTCACTTGTTCGCTCCATTGTTCCTCCCACAGACCTTATTCTTAAAGTTTGTCTGTGGGAGGGTGTTCTCCATTGATACCTTCTAGAGGGACAAGGATTCTTTTGCCTGAAGATTGACTTGTTTGTTTCTTCGGATGACTACATGGTGAGGTAGACATGCAAATTACAATACACTTTCCCTGTTCAGTCAAATAATTAATTCTCAATTGTAATTTAAATATTTTTGGATTTTAGAGAGTGAAATTGGTGAGTGAAGTGAGACAAGACAAGGGATTGCCTGCTAAGACTTTGTATTAACGTTGAAAGCTGGGGATAGGTCAATTAGTTTTTTTAGATTCCATTATATGTGTTGGGAGAGGTTGGTTTGACTCTGGGGCTCCTCATCCGTTACTGAGCCCAAGGTCTATGTTCCGAAGTTGTATCTTGAGTTGCATGGGCCCTGCCACCCTCCTGTCTAAGAGGAAAATGTGGGCCAAAGAGGTGTGTTGGTGAGGGACAGTCCACATACTGATCTCCCCTCAACCATCAATTACCCGGTTTCCCTCTCTATTTGTCGTACCTTGCGGTCAACAAGGCGCCCACTCTGTGGGATGAGGGAACCACGAGTTTTACTGCACAAGAGGTCAGTGGTGGAAGAGGAGGTAGAAGAAGGGAGTGAGAAGGAAAAAGAAGAGGAAGTTACACCACATAACATGAGAGCTGGGATCCATGTGCCACATCTCGTCACTGGAGGGGTTTCACCTCCTGTAGACAGGACACTAGGCCTAGTGGTTAGGTTCTTGGATTCGTGACCGTAAGGTCGTGAGTTCAAATTCAGTCAAGGACCCAACAATGTGTCCTTGAGAAAGGAATTTTACATGCATTTTCCTCACTTCACCCAGGTGGGAACGGGTACCTGGTAATAGACAGTGGAAGATCTTGTCAGTTTGTTAGTGTTTGAGATCCCGCAATCCACAGCTTGCACGGTATGCTTCCCGGGAAGCAAAGAATGTTTCTGAGTGATCAAGGGTCTGCTGGGGTATAAATAGTTGTAAAGCGCATAGAGCATGGATATGCACTGTATAGAAGCAATTATTATTACGGAGTGGCTAGCCGCATTGATCTGGGGTGGCTAGCATTTTGCTACACGAATGAATTCACGAAATTATCAAATTATTAAAAAATTTCCCCACCTGGGACACATACTCACGTTATCTTCCTGCTATGGCAAATAACTTCGCAACTACACCGTAGGCACGTAGACAGCAGTGGCAAGATGGCAAACATTGAGTAGAGCATATGATTATTATATCGTCTTGACCCCAAAATTTTCTTTTTTTCGCAGATTTACTTGCTTACTCGCTTTGTTTGTTTTGTCCCAGAGACCGGACACATTCCTGTTTGTCGATGAATATCAGTATTTGAGACGTCAGCTGTTTTACTTCATTTCTAATTAATTTTTAAGTTGAAGCACCCCAGTTTTTGAGAAATTTGAAAACTTAGTGAGATGAAGATTAAACTTGCATTCAATAAGTTCTGAAAAAAAATTTGTTAACTGACACTAAGGGAGTTAATCCAAGCTTCTTATCTTTCTACAAACCATAAAAGATAGTGAGTGGAACAACGCAAACACTGTTATTATTAACTGTTAAAGACAACAGTGATGCAGTACCTTATAAGTTTGGTCACTCCAACACATGGGACAAGAGACCGGTGTCCATAGTGTGAAGGGAAGTTCGGTAGTGGAAAAAACAGAAGCAAAATTATTACCACAGTTCATACTAGAGAACCTCATTCTCCCAGTATCATCGTCAGGCATCTGTTTCCATCTAGTTGAAGTCAAAGCAACAGTAAGATCTCCAACAACATCTCCATCGTTTTCACCACTATCATCGTCATTTTCATCAATATCTAAATCTTAATCCCAAACATTATTTTGCTTGTTCTTTGCCTCTCAGACCCATCCCCCCCCCCCCCCCCCCCCCCCCCCCCCCATCTCAATTCTAAAAATTGTTGGAAATCAAATGAATTCTTATAGCATAAGTAGATATACGACCAGTGAAGTGGTGCTATGCATGGCTATTTATTTGAAGAGAAGATAAGACTATCAAAGCAAGACTTCAACCATACAACTTTGACACTTCGATTGCTTAGTGCACAAAAGGCACACAGCACTGAGAAATATAAAATTGTTGGGTCAGTTCACAAAAGTTTGCAGCTATCAGTTGAAGTTTATCAATCAATTCCACAATGAAATGCATACTTGAATTTTGTCAAACGTTACACCAAAGTCTTTTTTTTCCCCAAGTGAGGGGATACTTGGGGAACCCTTCTTAAAACGAGTCTTTTTCTCACATAACATCATGGTTACTCCCATGTGAGCCTCACAGAGAATGGAGACCCTGGATGTGCATAAAGTGAAGACCTCTTAAAATGAACACTGTTAATCCAAAATCAGAGGTAAACTGAAAGAAAATAGAATTCTCAATTTCTTAAACTTTTTTGTCTTTGTAAGAAAACTATTGATTAGCCACAATGCTTCTATTTCTATGCCGAAAAGAATTTCAAGGGACACGTGAGAGACCTTCTGACAAAATGAGTTACTTCAGGCAATCCACAAATGGAGATATTGGCCAAAAATCGACACTAGGGTAAAATTTATAGATTTTCTGTTGATGCAATATTCTTTAATTAAGTACAACATGCCCTTTATTATTCCATACTTATAAATTGTACAAACTTCACCAATAAGCAGGATGTGTCTATTTCCAAAAGGGCTTGAATCTGAGAAGTAAATCATTTTGTCAGCATGCTGCACACGTTGTCTACATCTTCACTGGCAACCCTCAATTACAGCATAGAGCATATCATCACGTCTTACACACTTCGAGATAGCAAAACAGATGAAAGAGACTCAAGAATGTATAGGTGTCGATTGCAGGCCAGAAAGAGGTAGAGTCAGTGTACCGTCTGCTACATTTATCACACACATCAATAGGCCTGCACACTGTGTACAGTGATGCAGGGACAGCCAATGTATGTCAGTCGCACAACCTTCAGTTGATCATGTCCTATTGTGTCTGTGAAGTTAGTTGGTTTAGCTTTAGGTTTAATAAGAGTTTTACAGTGCTCGCAACGACAAAAGTTAGTTCACTTATGCCTTGCACAAGAGCATGTGATGTGTTCCATGGCGTTACTAGCATTGAGCTTTCCCAGTTCTCCATCCTAGTGCAGAGCACATTACAGCATGTAGTACTCTGCGCTTTTTTTGTTTGCTCAGGGCGACTGTTAGACACATTAGCAAGCTGACTACGTAAAAAACCCCATCAAAACACAATGCGTACAGCCTACTGCTCAAATTTCAGTTTCTGAAAGAGGCAGATGAGAGAAAACATTGAAAAAGTGACATTTGCTGCATGCATGGCATTCTCAAGGCTATATATGTTGACTTCATCTTCTTTTTGCTTTCTCATGTGAGATTTCAGGGGTATTTGACTTCTGGTTCTTCAACCTGCTGTACAACTGACTTTTATGTATATGACCGTTTTTCCTATTTCGTAGCACCCTAGCCATCAGGTAGCCACATTCCAATTTCAAAGGTATTCTGTATGTTTTTACACAGACTGTAATATTTTGGTAGGAATTAACTTTGAATTTTGCCCAGGTGTAGGAAGCAGAGTCCAGGGACAGGTTCCTGGTGGGTGATCAGGGGGCGAAACCCCCAAAGAATTTGAAATTTAGTGCTTTAAGAGGGTTTGAAAATGGCATTTGGGAGCCTGTTTGAAGAGACTGCCAACAATCTATTTTTTAACCAAAATTTTGTCTTGTTTGATTTCTCCTCCAACAAATCTTTCCATTAATGGCAATGTTTAACAACAGGTTCCCTTTGCTATTGCTACTATAATTCAGTTAATTTGTAATCGCACCATTGACAGATGGCAAACTTGGGAACAATGAATAGACATGTTACTTTGACGATAGAGTATAGAGTTATCCAGCACATATTCTTATTTTACTCCATTTTCACGTTTAAATGTCAAATGTCACAACCTCCGAACACTACTTCGAATTATTCTTGATTTTAGTAGGTTTAGCATAAATTTCATTCATCGCGGCCCGTGGAATCATTGAGCTGACAATTTCTCTAGATCAAGTTAAATTCGCTAAAATGTTTCTTTCTGACAGTGATTTTCGGTCTACAATCACAAGTCAGGTTACTTGATCAACGCGCAGATTTTTCCAGCCGCGGCAACAATACGAATATGGACAGAAAGAAAGAGTAAATGAGCAAAGAAAGAAAGGAGGAAATTGGTACAAAAAGTTCACTATAATGGCTAGCCAGATTTGGATAAATTCGCAGCTAAAATTGTACTGCCGATCAACCCAAAATGAATGCAGAGCGGGATAATGGCCCATTGCAGGAAAGGCACAATCTGGCAGGTTTCTATAACATTAACTTATTGCTGAGAGAATTAACGTAAATATCTGGAACTTATACAAGAAAATACAAAGACGTGTACAGATCTTTTGCCACAGAATTTCAGTAGCACTACGCTACTGCATTTTTGAACAAATCTAGTGGATAATGACAGAGGATCAGGTACAGAACTGTCAGAAAGCACTGAATAATTGTAGGATATACCCTTGAATTTAGTCTCAATACCAAATATGCCCTTTAACCCTCAAATGTTTTTTACTTAGAATTTCAACCACAGTTGGTTATTGGGTTTGCCCCCCATAATTTTCATAATAATCTGCCTTATTTGGTATCAAAATGCCATTTTTTAAAAGGGGGACGCTTTCTTTGATGAATGAAACCAAAACTACTTTAAAAAGTGCATTTTTCTATTAAAAAACGTCAATTGAAACATAGATAGCGTTCATGTGCCTTTCGGTCCGTCATTTTGAATTCCGTAAACATTGCTGCTCACACTGTCCCAAGGAAAATGCAAATAATGGCTCCAAAATGCAGTTCTGACGAAGAAATTGCCAATGTTTCAAGCGATGAGGAGCTTTGGGATGATGAAGAAAGCTCTGAGTCTATTGAAGATGAGAATCAAGCCCCATCAGCTGATGGTAATGTTTTGTTTTTTTAGTAAGTTTTACAGCGCTCGGAACTGCATAAGGTCATATAAGAAAGCACGAAACACAATTAAGTTGGTTGCATTCACAACAGTTCACTGCACGGCTTGGCTCTGGTCAACGATCAGATTTTTAAAATGTTAAAAACTTCTTCCATGGTTCCAAAGCATGTTACTTGAAAGCAAATCCAATTCTGAATTCATTGATGCATTATTCTATCTTGTATGGGAGCAAAATTATGTTACTTTTAGTAATAGTACCTACAAAATCGTAACAAAATTCCCCAAAACTGTAAAAACAATAAGAGTTCAGTTTCCCTCGAAGCTGAAGGTATTGTTCTGGATCTAGCACCACACACACCTAAATCTTTTCCTCACTTCCATTCAAACTGTCAATTGCATGTATCTCTTTCTTCAATGGAAAGCAAAAAACAAAAAAACACCCCCCCCCAAAAAAAAGAAAACCCTAACAACCCCCCCCCCCCCCCCCACCACTACACCACCAGAAATAAATAGAAGCTTTGACATTAATATTCCAAACCTATGGCCAAGAGTCTGGATCAGCTATCTTGAGCATTGACAGAACTTGAGAAAAGAGACAATTTTTTGTTGTTTTTGGTTTGCACAAATTACGGTGCACTCTTTTCTTTTGTCTTTGTGGTGCTTGGTGAAAGAAGAACTATTGAAATGGCCAGATTTTGTGATTACAAAAAGTGGAGGAATGAATCTGGAAAAAAAAACCCACAGCTAAATAACAAAGTTACATAATTTGAAAATTGACATGGGGGGCGCAAGGAGAATTTAAGAAAATTATAGTAACAAATCCTGAACACTGACTTACCTGTAGCCATCTTTGGAAGGCTTCACGGATACTGCGACGCTTAGCATCATCTTTAGTGCAACTGTATACGCGAATCTTGATCTCCTCAAAGACGCTTGGCTTGATCAACAGCCCAGGCTGAGAATAGCAAAAGGAATAACAATTCTTGTTTTTTAAACGGTGCGGGGAAAAGCAAGACAGACGGCAGAAACTGGGGGGAAAAAAGTAGGACCTACAGGTAGCACTTTCTAAATACCTGCATTATGAACCACTTCGTTGTCTTACATCGTATGTCACGAAAATGCATAATTTTTAGCGCTGCACCATTCCATGTACGTCACAGAAGTTGGCAAAATTTTCCGCTCGTGGTTGCCTATACGACGTTACATGTACTGCACGCTAATAACCTGGCTCTAATTCTTCTGTACGAAGTTTTAGCCACAAGCGCTGCGTAGACTCGTATTCGGGAACAAAAGACGAGCATACCAGTACTAAATTAGCTAATATTTCTTTACAGCTTACGCTTGCAAGCGACCGATAAATGTATAATATATCTAGGCAAGCGAACGGATGCGTGCTCTCGTAAAACGTTAACATCAAAATGACTTTAAAACGGCAAAGAAATTCACTTTTTGACTTAGATTTGCAGGTTATTCGAAATTAGGAGTAAGATGGGAGGAAATCGGGAATAAGAAAAGTAAAAAAAGTGAAACAATAGAAGACCCGGCATCCGAAATATGTCACAAGAATGCTAGACCTAGACCGCACGTCCATTAACACTGAGACACTAGACTGCTGTGTTGGGTGACGAGTTCAGCTGAAAATCAGCGCTGACAGTAGCAATGCATACCCCCCTGGCAACGAAAGGGTTAAGGGTGTACTTGCTTTTAAGACGACGAATAAAACTATAAGCACAATTAATCTTCCTTAACGTCGTCACGGCAGCAGTCAGTGGTGACTGAACCCAAGCAGTGAAAGGAATATCACCAAGTATCATTTGGTTCTAAGCTACACACAATAAGCCATATAAGGCATATTTATCTGTACTTAAATAAAGCTAGAAAAGTAAAACAAAGAAGACAGCAGAATTGGAGAAAAGGATTCAGACAACAGAGATGAGATGTTACCGCAAACTCCTTGACATCTCATACAAAGACCACATTTTAAATACTGAGGTAAGGAACAGAATCACCAATGCAGTGGGGCAGCATGAAGATCTACTGATCACAGTGAAGAGACGAAAATTAAAATGGTATGGGCACGTCACAAGATCCACAGGACTTGCCAAAACAATCCTACAAGGAACCGTACAAGAAAAGAGAAAGAGAGGAAGGCAGAGGAGGAGAAGGGAGGACAACATTACAGAGTGGACAGGAAAGATGATGGGTGACAATCTGAGAAAAGCAGAGGAGAAAGAGAAACGGCGAGAGCTGGTTGTCAGATGCAGTGGTGCCCCCACGGTTGCCCCAACCACAGGATAGAAAAAAAAGAAGAAGAAGATAAAGCACACATGGCTTTTTCACCACAGAAATGGTTATTGTGTTGGTACACTTGGACACAGATGACACACCAAGATAACGGGAAATACTCTTAGAAGGAGAACAAAAATTAAGCCTCACTTTGGACTCATGTTCAAACCAGTGGCGGTGGGAAGTGAAGGGCTCACGGGCTTGAGCCCCTATCCCCTCCCCACCCGCCACCCCCAATTCTATCCCAAAGTAAATGAAAGTTTCTCCATAATGAAATAAGCAGTTGAAACCGTTATGACCGCACGCAATGAATACAGCGTGATCTATTCGGCGGCTTGCTCGCTTACCCAATCACTGTTGTCACCGCTTACAACTATAGTAACCCAGCAGCCAATCAAATGTCTTTAGGGCTCAGCAAAGATCAGCCCTTTTCCCACAGCCCGTCCTTAATGAAACTCTTCTTGTAAAAAGGTAGAAGACTGGGAAAAAATAACACTGTGCCGAGGGCTCACGCTCTCCTAGCCCTGACAATGGGGTGAAAGTTTACGACACACTTTCCCCCACTGACACAGATACCTATGCGCTCATTGGTTCTTTGTAAGGTGCGTTCAACTTTCTCGACTACACGGCCTAGTCCAGCTCATAGAAGTATTATGTTTGAAATGCTGTGTGTGCATGTTTGTGTTTGTGCCACTGAGATTTAACAGTTATAAATCAGGTCGAATTACTTGTAAGGCAACTTTTTCATCACACGAAAACTAATTAGAGGAAATTTGGAGGTGAATCGGCTTCGTTCACACCATCGACAAGAATTTAACTAAGAACAAAGAGATGGAAAACAAAGGCAACTCTTCTCGTTTGCATGGTACTCAAACTGCCGTGGCTCATTGTGACTATAGAAAATCTGGAAGCAACCTAAGCCCCACCCAAATTTTGGTCCACCCACCGCCACTGGTTCAAACCACCTCCTTGTTGGTCAATTTCACAATGTAGCGTATAACAGTGACTGGTAATTGTAACTGTAAATCTTTAACTCCTACATTGACACAATCGATATAACCGAGGAGGCCAGCTCCAAAGCATATCAATGACTTCCACAAAACTTGTCACGTAACAAATAACATTAACAAATTTTAGTGTTCTTTCCCAAATCAGGATTCAAGTGAGCTAAAAGGTGTTGACAATCCAAAGATCAATGAAAGAAAAGGTTGAAAGTGCAACTCAGTCAAGAATGTCCTAGGTTATGTCTCTTTGGCAAACAGATACTAAAGGAACACTACCTTGGCCCAAAAGGATCAGGGGCAGTGTCACTACCTTAAACACTCTTGTTCAGACCAAAAGCAGTGCAACTGCTTTGTAAAGGGTGGCGTAGGGTGCTCTGTGAAAGAATGAAAAGAATAAAGCCAGACCATCAAACAGACCTGGAAGATATGGGAAGACCCAGAAGCGGACAACTCAAAAGGACATTTCTCCACTGAAGACCAGAAGCACAAGAAAATGAAATCATCAGCTATGAAACAGATAAGAAACTTGAAGACCAATTTAAAATTTCCCTGCCCATCTTTTTGAAGAATCATGAGATAATGACAGAATCCAAAAACAAGAATGCTAAATTTTCAGACACAGTGACACATGTATTCATCACACAAAAAAAAGGGAAACTTATTTGAATAAATGCGAAATCATATCTAATAGATCACTTGCCTGGAAATTTCAATAACACTTTGCAAGCTTACCAAGAAAAACATACAAAATTTAGGAAGCAATAAAAACTGCTTTTATATTATCAAAGCTCTATTTTTGAGGGACATAGTAAGAGGGTGGATAAAAAAGTAACCGAACTCAGTTTTTCCAATAGTAAATAATTGGGTACTCTTGTTGAGCATGTTACTGGCACAAACAGAAGCCTTTTTCATCATCATACGAAAAAGTTTCATCGATTACTGTACAACAATTTTCACTTGGCATCAACTTTTCCGAGTTCACTTCACGTTCATCGTGATTACAGTTTATATCTTAAGCCAAATTTCAAAAAAAGTTTGAAGGATATTAAAATTGTTGTGTTTTATTTACCTTGTCTTTGTGGAAGCGGATTGAGCAAAACATGAGCATTCAGTTTTGATTCATTTGGAAGAACAGCCACAGAAACATTTCAAATCGTCTGCTCAGTGTAAGACTCGGTCAACATCACTTTTTAATATGGTGTATGGTCGAGTCTTACATGAAGCAGTTGAAATGTTGTTGGTTGCTTTTGGCAAAGATTAATTAACAAGAACGTAATGCTTTTCATGTTCCTCCAAATTTAATGCTGGGGTCTGGGGGAAGGCTGAAGATGTCTGTAAAAGAGGAGACTTTAAAAAGTAGACGAAACTGTCTGAAATAATTGTTGCCAAACTGCTAATGAAGTCATGAGCACTGCGGGAATTTCTTGTGGCTATGTCAAACTCCAAGCATCGCAGTTAAGCAAAGAGAGGATGCAAAATTTTTGTCCCCGTTTGCTGATTGAAGACCAAAAGCAACTGAGTAGATGGGAGTATATGTTCGTTGCGTTGATCACAGACTTGACGAAAACTTCCCTAAAAGAATTATTATAGGTGAGGAAACTTGGCTGTAGCTTCTACAACCCAGAAACAAAGCAACAATCAACACAAAGGAAATACGTAGATTCGCCACATTCAAAGAACACCTACTAGGTGTGAAGTAATGTTTAGTAACTATTTGTAGTTTTCTTTAACAATTGGTAGGGCATTACACTCTAAGAATAAGTTTCACAATGACAAAGAATCAATCAAAACTATTACGTGCAAGTGTTGAGGCATTTGAGGGAGAACATTTGACCAAAACGACTGGCTCCGTCACGCAGTAACTGATGTCTCATCGACCATACTCACCACTCTTGGTTCCATGTGATTTTATTTTTTCTCAAAAGTGAAAATGCATTTGAAAGGCTTCTGTTTTGAAGATATTAGGCCAAAATGTATTAAATTTGAGTAGCTGAGACAGAGTGCTCAAGGCTATCACAAAGGAGGAGGTACAGAGAAGCTTCCAATGCTTACAAACCTGCTGGAATCACTGGATACGTGCAGGACGGGGCTACTTTGAAGGTAGCAGTGAGGAGTAAATTATGCTGCAGTAATTTTCATATATAATAGCATCAGTCCACTTAATTTTTTATCCACCCTCAATAATCCTTTGAAAACCAAAAACATAGTACTGCCAGAGTACTGGTACTGATAGCTTCATTGACTGGGAATCAGTTCGTGAAACCCCTGTGAAATGTGAACAAAGATGCGGTAAAGTAAAAGTTTGTTTTAGTTTTAGTAAGACTTTTACAGCACTTGCAACACAATGAGGTTATATATGTGCATAAGATTAGAGGCGTTACAAGAGAGTAACAAACACAAAAAAAGGAGGACAAATTTAATGAAAGAAGGAGCAAATCACACCAGAACACCTGTCAACGACTGACACATAAAGTTAGACTCAAACCATCTAATGACATTCTAACTTCTAAGACATCAACCTGGAGAAGCAGTGGGTCCAAGAACACTCAAACGCACAAAGAACTGAAAGAACAGGCATATTTGCAAAAAACTTGACAGGAACACAAACTTGTCTTCCAACACCAAAATAAATCACCACAGTGAACACCAAAATGAGCTGGAAGGGCCAAAAACGCAATGGACATCACAGATCAAGCATATATGGCTACCACAGAAAAAAATGACAATAACCAAGCCACAAGAGAAGGACAGTCCATGATTTGTCACTAACACATAGAATATAAACCACTGAATTTCTTCCTCACACCTCAACAGAAATTAACCACAGAAACATGCCCTTGTAAAAATACAGGCAGCCGGTATTTTCACGACATGTGGAAAAAAAATCTACGCGCATTTTCTCGACTTGTTTTTCTCCTTGGAAGAATCAGTAAACAGCTGGGTCATGCCAGAGGTGTATTTATAGACTCTCTGCCCTTTGGCCATGCCTTCTCTCTCAGTCTCTCTCTCTCTCTCTCTCGATAAGAATGGCGGATGCAAATCCCCTTCCCTTTGAAGTGGGACGAATTCTTAATTTTAAAGCGTATCGTGAGTTTGAGGAAGAATTTCGGAAGTCATCATCATTGCCTTTCCCACCCTCCGGGTCAGGATATAGGCCACGAACAAACACTCTCCACCTTTCCCTATCCTGGGCAAGTGGCTTGATGTCACTCCATGTCTTTCCACTTTTCTGTACATCCATTTCCGTACTCTTCTCCAGGTTCCACGAGGTCTTCCCCTTGATCTTTTACCCTGTAGGTTCCAATCTAACACTTCGGAAGTACTGCGGTACAAAGTATGTTTTCAGCAAAAAATCCTCGAAATCAGCCACCACCAAGAACAACACAATCAAAGACGAGTCGAAACACTACCCGGCGGAGTGGCAGTACTGTTTGTGTTCATGTCTCTACTTTAACAAAGGTTTTTTAAAACTTTCTGAGGGTCGAAAACGGCATTTTTCATTGCGGCTATTATTCAATTTGTCATCGCATCTCTTACAGTAGGCTGTTACACAAATCCGGGAATATCAATCCTGACGGTACGATCACCAATCCTATAGATTCTACTCTAAATTTCCACCATTTTTTACACGTTCGATTGTGGAATGGCAAAACCAGAGCAGAACTTCACTTATTAACACCTTTATTTTCCCGACAGAGCTGCGCAGAGGGACAATGGTCGAGTTCGCACAAATAGGCCCAAAACTTACTGCCGAGGGTGAGATTTTAGAGCTACCGCCCGAAAAGCAAGAAATAAGAAAGCAACCGTGCCCCCCCCCCTTCTTTTCTCTCTCTGTCTGTCATCAGTCTGTCTGTCTGTCTCTTTCTCTCTCTCTTTTCAAAGATTTCGGGATGTAAATCTAGGTTACGGGTTTCTCAAGGGAAAGTTGGAGTTGGAAGCACTCTCGGAACATATCGTATCACAAATCTGGTAGTTTTGATACCTTAATCGGAATGGTGTTAGAACAAGTCCAAAATCGGAAGCAAGATGTAGATCTACTGAAAAAAAAATTGCTTAGAAAATCTAGACCTCTGCGGTAAGAGCCGGTATGTCTTTGACAGGTCATGAAAATGCGCATAATTTTTTTTCCCCCGACAGGTCATGAAAATGCGCTTACATTTTTTCCCCACGACATGTCGTGAACATACCAGCTGCCAAAAATTTATGAGACTAGACAGTGGACCACCACTTTTTCTGCTGCCCAGAACTCGATGATATCATTCTCTCTCCTTGTGAGGCCACTCAAAGATATTACATGCTATTAGAACCCACATACCCTTTCATGTCATTGGATGAAAGGACAAAAACCAGGTACAAAGCTTGACCAGTTACCAAAACAACAACAAAAATCAGCAATGAGATTGACTGTCATATAAAAACTTCCACAGAAAGCCAACATTTTAAATGATACATTTCAAGTAACGTAAGGATAAACTAGTGTAGGGGAATAAAATGAGACTGACAAACAGAAAGAAAAGAGGGGAGTAAACAGTAGGATCTAACAGTGATACCTCTGACAAACCACTTACTTTCGACGGCAGATTAAGCACAACACTAAGGGAGATTTCATAAGGTAGTTACTTACCTCAGGGGCATCAACTGCCTTGTCTGGTTCTGACTTGCAGTACACTTTGAGAGTCTTGATTGGATTGCGTTCTTTCATCCCAAAGTTCCACTTTGCCACCTAAAAGAGAAGGCAACAACTTTTTTCTTCATAAAACCTTCCATCCGTTCCTCTTGGTGCTTTGGAAACCTAGGTAAACTCTGGATTTGTGAACCACATATCATAGGTTCATCAGCGAACTTTAAGCAAGTTGTTTAATACTTACTTATATGATCGTCAAATCTAGTAAGTACTGTAAACAAAACAAAGTATAGTGTCAGATTTTGTGCTGTTCAGCTCAACATATTATGGTCTTGAGAGAGGGAGAGAGAGAAAGAGAGGGAGAGAAAGAGAGAGGGAGAGAAAGAGAGAGAGAGAGAGAGAGAGAGAGAGAGAGGGGGGGGGGGGGGGGGGCACCTTAACACATCAGGATCACAAAGGTCAGCTCCCTGTCGCTTCTCTGGCTGGGCTGACTTAATTTTTGGTACTCTTCAACTTTTAGTTTTGGGAGTATCCTTGTACTTATCATCCAATGCACCCAAAGTATGAAATTTTGCTCTTGCGACTCAAAAAAGAACGGACATTGTAACTCATTTGGTTTTTTCGTTAAACACACTGAAGTTGTTAGTTAGTTAGTAGTATAAGGTTTTACGGCGCTCGCAACTGCTAAGGTCATATGAGCGCGCGAAACACAAGTTGTTCACCTCTGCGAAAGTTCACTTCACGACTGGTAACTAGTTTACTTTAAAATGCTAAAAAGTTAAAATATTCAAATTCGGTGTAAATACATTTGTGATCTAAAACAACTTTTAAGTAACAATAAAAATTTTAAATAATATCAGATTCACTTTACAACTCGCCATAAAGGCCAATGGCCTTTATAAAATTTAAAATTCTGCTGGGAACAACGACGGAGAAAATATCCTGCAATTTCTTGGCAATGCTAAATTGTGAATTTTTTTTTACAAAAGTGGATGACAAAAAAGCAACATTAAAAAAGAAACATGACATAGATGAAGGTACTCACAAAAGGGTGTATCTAAAAGGGTGTATCTGCGAAGAAGATAGAAAGCTGTATTTCTGCACCTTAATCCACCTTGCACACAATGGGCGAAGAATCATTTCGAGACCTCACACATGCCATTCCTTCACACACAATGTTATGTGTCTAATAAAATCGTGAGTATCAGACTATTAATTATCATATATATTTACGCTGTGGTCTCTCTACATAGATGTATGAATCGATTCTAGTGCCAAAATACATCTACAATGTCATGCATATATATAAGTGTCAAGATGCGGGGGAATCGGGCGCTCGTTAATTTTTTGGGCATGTGGAGTTATTGGTACCATCTTAAAGCTTGTTCATTTGTCTTGATTTGGAAGAAAAGAATATCCATTTATCTTGAATACGAGTCAAGATATTTGCGATTGAAAGAGGTGGGGGCAGCCTGGTTTCAGAGGTAAAATTAGCGAGAAAATGGCCGCCAAAGTTTGGTTATTTCCATAGCTTGAGAGTCCATGGAAACGGAAAACTTACATTCTTTGTGCCTCTAATCAACTTTTTCAGTGAAATCGACATAGAAATGTGTTCTTAAATGGACAGAAAAGGTGTTGAGCCTAAAAACAAAAATTCAATAAAAATTGCAAAACAGGTGGAAAAGTGCCAGTTTCTACAATTTCATCATTTTGACGAGCGCCTGATTTCACCACGCTGCCTCACATATATACAGTATCTGTTACACTCAAGAAATGCCTTACTTTTCTTAAAACTTAAGTCTCTACATTTGTAAATTGACTGAAGAATGGGGGTAACTTGTTGCAACAGGGTTTTCAGAATAATTTCTGGCTTTCCAGTGACGCTGAATCAGTACCAGACTTTTCGAGCTTTTCTTTCAGTTTCTATTACCATTTGCAAAGACTGACCACGTACTGATTTCTTCACATTAATAAGTGCCTGAGTACATTTCTGATACGAAAACTAAGAACGAATGTATTAGCTGTCATCTATTACATATTTGGCAACTTGGAAACACATGTGTCACTTTTCCAGGAAAACTGCGACAGCTACAGAATTGAAAGTTGGCAAGTACCTGCAAAAAGATAGATAGCAGGGCTGCCAGCCTCAAAGTTCCCATTTCAGGTAAATTCAAGGTCACTTTCAGGTATTTTGGCCCAAAATCAGGTAGTACAAAGACAAAGAAGGAAATAAAAAGATGATTGTTGCCCCGTTACACATAGTAACCATCGAACGGGGCTTGTTTTTCGTGATTTTTTGGATAATTATATTTTGAAAACTTGATGAAATGAGGCGAAATTTTGTTTTCAACATTATGGACTATTGTTCAAGTTCAAGGCACCCATTTTTCAGTATTGAATGTGGTATTGAGTGCAGGGTGAATGCCAAACTGACTTAAAAACCCCTAGCCCATACCAGTAGAAACTATATTAAAACACATTTTCCGACATTAGTATAGGGCACTGAAAAATCCTGTGTGACTTAGTATGACGGACAATTTTATCTAGCTTTGCTCTAAAAATACAAAATAAATCCTGATCTGGGCTTGTGTTGAGACCAGAATATAAACTGCCAAAACCACGATTGGGTTGTTGAATAGCATGCAAGACAAAGCTTATTTAAAGAAAACCGTTATAGTTAGGCTCACGGCAGAGCAAAAAGAGACATTAGAAGAGAGCGTGTACTGAGAGCTGGAGCTGAAAGGCCTAAGAGTGTGAGATGTAGTGATGGACTAAGTATTGATTTTTTTCCTTCAAAATGCACACTCTGTTGATAAAATTAGTTTCAGATCTTATTCTCCAGTAAGTCCAAATACATCTAAAAAAAGATTTTTTTTTTTTTTTTTCTTCAAGCATAGGCCCTCTGCAAGGTCCAGTAGGGGGTCAGGGGTGAAGCCCCGAAAGAAATTGGGGTGAAGCCCCGAAAGAAATTGAAATCTAGAGCTTTCAAAGGGTTGAAAATGTGTCTTCATTGCCACTATTCAATTTGTCATCGCATCATTGACAAATACGGCCAATCCGGGAACACCAATCTTGAAGATACAATCACCAAGCCAAGGTTCCCTCATTTACACATTCCATTGTCGAATGTTAAAACCTAAGAGCACCACTTCCACTTATCGTTTACATTTTAGCATCAGTTTCTTGCACTGCGGCCTTCTCCTGCTGCCGAAGACTGAATTCCGTCAAGCACACCCCCCCCTCCCCAAACCCAATTGCAAAGTGCAGTAACGCTCCTAGTCCTACTTTGAATGAACTTTGATGACACCAACAACCGCCAGTCCCGTCGTACTCATGTCGTACCGGAGGCCGTACTCACACGATGCCAAAGCGCACAGGTTCACTGACCGGTCCCTTTCTTTTTCTTTCTTTCTTTTCTTCATGAGACAGCATAGTGAGAATATTGATTTTATGTGCATGGCGACACTGTTTCTCATGCATAAACTGCATGTCATAACTGTAGACCTAATGTTAACAAACTATCATCAGACTATTCTGGGCGGTAACGAAAGCGAAAGTAGATTTTGATTTTCCTGATGGAGTCTCGATATTACACCTACACTTGCGTCTGCCGCCATAGCCACTTATTCGCCATAGCCAGCTATTCGCGTGAAATGTACTCTCGGACCGGGGAAGGCCAACGTAATCACAAACACGACTGGTAAAATAGGAGCTCAGTGGCCCTTCTGGATTTTGTTTCGAGGACTTTGTGCATTTTTTGCGGGGGAATTTACAGATTTCCTCAAATTCCAGATGCATTCCCGGGTCCCGGCGATTTATATAAGCTAATCTCTCTCTCTTTCTCTTTTACGCATGGAGTTGATATGATGATGCAGCAAAAACAGAACTGTCCGAAAGTACGGATTTCCGCAAAAACTGGGAAGATTGGAAACGGCAAAGTGTTTTTCTTTTTCTTCTTCTACTTGCAGCACCCATCGCAAATCCGGTAGTTTTGACCCCTTTATCGGTATGTCCGTAGAACGGGCCCAAAATCGGTAACTACCAGAAAAATCGGTAGATTTAGGCAGCCCTGGGATAGGTCCCCATGACGGAGCCCGACTTTTGATTCATTCATTTCCTGAATTTGGAAAAATATATTTGACAAAAGTTCCCGTTCTTCTTTGGCCTTTGTGATTATTCCACTGAGAAATGAAACAAATCTGCGTAGCTGTCCTCCACAGCGGAAGTGCCGGAAGTGATATTTCGCGAGGCGCATTTTGTTTTGAGAGTATAGATCTAGACCTTCTAATTTTTTGCATCTCTCAAGATTTATTGCTCTATTCTAGAAGAGTGTAAATATAGTAGGCCAATGACTTTCAGTTGATGTTACTGCACCGATCATTCCTTTCATCGAAAGGGGACCCAGCTAGTTATTTATATTCCATATACAAGAAGTTTACCTCTGCCCATGTATTTACACAGTTTGGTGTTTTTACATGGTCTCATATCTTTCTTAGTTGTATTCAGGCTGTTCTAGACACTATATAGTTCATGTACAAACGCAAAGTGTCTTTCTCTTGTGTATTTAATGGTAAAGCAAGAGCCGACACCAAGTGCACTTTGTCAGAAAATGCAGATGTGCATCTTTCTTCTCTTAACTCATTCGCTACGTATTATTTTCGGCTTGCGGACGAATTTTTTTCGGGAGGGCGAAATGAGATGATGACTAGTGTGCAGTTCACAGGTCTTGGGGGCCATAGATTCAAATAAATATAAACATATTATACACCAACATTTTCAGTATGGTTTGTAGAATACATTTGTATTGTTTATTTGAGTATTTTTCAACTTTGGTTCCTGTAAGAGGCGATTATGCAACACAATTGTGATTGGCTGCGGATAAAATTTGAAAACAAAAAATTTATAATCTCAGATGAAACTCAAAATATATGTTTGTACCTAGTCAAATTATACATCAAAATAACCATAATTGTATATAGAACAGGAAAATATTGAGCAGTTATTTACATACATTCCATAATATTTGTACATTTGGATCATAACCTCCGATATTGAAAAAAACAACAATTTTATAATAATTTTGAAAAAAGGATCCCAAACAGAAAAAAATACTCGTATCTTATATGGAATTATTCAGAATTGCATTTGGAATAAACCTATACATGTCTTGGATGGTACTTTTTTTTAGTAAATTCCCCAAAAAGCAGTGATTTTGGGGAGAAAAAAATATTTTGACTACTTAGATTTAGGCCTAGATCTAGCACTCAAAAATATTGATTTCTCAATTTCAGTGCACTGGCAATTTGAGTCCAGTAGTATCAATATTATAAAGAAGAGTCCTACACTTCTTTAGTGAGCAAAATAATGATAAATTTTGTTGTGTAAAAGTACTAAGACTGGTGTCTGGGCTATAATTTGGGCTTCGCGATAAAACAATGTCGCATAAACTTCGAAATCGTGTTTCAAAACTGAATCAAAACTTCCGATTTTCGGTGGAAACGCTTGACCCGAAAGTCAACTTTATATTATGATCTTTATTTTAACATGGATATGTGATTGGAACAGCAACCAAGCTAAAATTGAACGTCGGTTCTCGAGCCGCCGGGGGCGGCTTAGCGTACTGACGGCACTTTAGCCGCGCCGCCCCCCCCACAGCTCGGCGTAGCGAATGAGTTAAAACTTGATTATTACTACCTGTGCAGATTAAAAATTTCTCAAGGCAAAAGACATGATATCCTTTGTCCGTTTATCGCAGATTTTGGAGAGATCTATTAAGCTGTTTCTGAATAAACAATAATTTATTCATAAGTATGTTACTAAAAATAGGATAAACAGGGTACTCTACAAACACTTGTCTAGAATGAAAACTTAGACACAGAAATTAACCATTCCAAAGCAGAATAAATCTCAAAACATTGAGCTTTTAGTACATCAGTACTGTGTGGGATGGGCAAGGACTTATATCGCTCCAAAGTTGAAAAAAATGAGAACTTCTCAACCGACACCGGCAAAGTTACTTCAGGGCTAATCAACTCCAATGATCCTGAGCCCGGGAGCTCTGGTGGGCAACTGAGTGACGCCAACTAAAAGTCGCAGAATCAGGCAAAAAGTGACACCATGCTAAACACATTCAACCGAGAGCCAATGGAATGAACAAAATTATCTTACCTAAAATGATTCAAGATCTGAGCCCCATACCTACCTGAACACAAAAGTCAGCCAAAGGAACAGATACGCTCATCCCTTCACTCAAAATCTTTTGCAGTTGTTCTTTAATCACTGTCACATCCTGAGGACAAATTCACAGAATCTATTTTTACCCATAAAAAAAGCAATACATTACACCGTAAGTAGGGTTTGAAACGAAAGTTCACTTTATCCTGACTTCTTAATTTTGAGTACATTCCCCATTTCCCTGAACATTGACTACGCTTGTAATTTTTTCTTGACAAGTAAGATACAACAGACACACAATCCACCATCTAGATCTATACAAACTGCTCATTATCTTCAAGTCTGATGTTCATGAGAACAGGCCTTTGCTCAGTCTGTCTGTATCTTAAAGAGAGAAGCCAAATCCACAGGCACCGTGTGATAGATCAGGGTGTTACAGAGTGAGCATAAATGTGACTAAAAAAACAAAAACAAACCCATAAGCCATGGTAAGCAAAGGCTGAGTGGTTTTTCTTGTTTCCAAACACGATAACATAAATCAGCTGTCTCTGAAAAGATTTTACAAGAAAAACAGAGATCTTAGTGACTTTTAACTCACTTGAGCTGAAACCAGTGTATTTACAGGACGCGATACCGGCCTGGTGGCCGAAAGCTGTGGATTTACTGGATGCGCTTTATCGACTGTTATCTCCAATATTTTTTCAGTTAAAAGCTATGGGAAGTGGCAAGCCAGCAGTTGACCCATTTGTTTATTTTGTTAAAAATTTTGTGAAGTTACACACTGCACTTTTTGAGTCGTAAGAGACTAATTCAGTCACCCCCGCATTGTGAAAGAGGCTCTGTGAACAGAAACAAAGTCACGGTCATTTTTAAGAGTGGTGATAGCCTCTCAAAGACACGAATGAAACATGTTAGGGTGTTTAAAAGGTCTGATAGGGAACTAGAAGTCTAAGGCTCCCTCTATGTCCCACAAAACATACAAGAAGCTGCTAGATCTACGGAGAGGGCTGTACAGTTCAGACAATGAAACAGTTAGAGTCGGAGTTGGATGAAAGTAAAAGTAGGAATCAGAATAGCTTTCTTCTTCATCCAAGTCTAGTCCAAGTGCAAGACAAATCTAGTAGTTCTAGTTGAGGGCACAGTAGCACTAAAGCTATTAGTTGCCGGTGTAACAATACACAAGGTGAGAAAAGGACAGTAGTATTTCAGTATGGACTTCAGACAGAACTATAGCAACAGGATACTGTCAAATCATTTGTGAAATGCATCATGTAGGCCTACTCCTACTGGGACACCATTTCATGCTTCCGCACCAAACTCAACATTCAAAAGTAAGAATTAACTGCTTGTATGTTGTTTCTGTGATACTCAGAAAAAGTTCCGTAACACATAGAAGAAGTAATACGAATACTAGGTGTTGCTTATTCCATGCAGGACAGTTATTTTTCGTAAAATGATTTTATAACAAATTGGGAGCAAAAAATTGTGTAACTACCAGACATTGCCATTTCTAAAAATATATTATTTGGGACACATTAGATGCAGTTTCCTTTGTTTGTAAGGTTCTTTCTTTCTTTCTTATGTTGCATTAAAAAAAATTATGATAAATTCCACAATCTTTTTGTAGTTAACTATTCAATATACCCCAAAACTATTAGGCTTCAATGATTGTTAGGGGAAGAATAGCTCAGGCTCAAGTGAGTTAACTAAATTGCATGTCCCAGAAATAACTATTAAATACCGGTACGTTTTCCCTCTCAAGACCTTCTGTCACATGTGGCCTTCAACAAGAGCAAACAATTGGGTCATACGCATACAAATCAGTAACATATCCCCTGGAGAGCACACACTCGATTTCTATACAGTTATTGAATGAAAAAAACCTTGTACATTCTAATCTTGGTGAAACAGACTTTCCTTAAGATTTGATTTACACGAACATTCTAACTTCTTTGTATCTATGATTGGTAGAGATATCGCTATCTTTAACAAACATTAAAAAAAAGAAGATAATTGACATTTGATAATTCAAATAAAATAAAAGTAATAGCTCAAATAGATGGTTTCTAATTTCAATCAAAACATGATTTGATTAGGTACTAGGTTTTCAATTCAAATGGCAGCACTGAGATTTAGCTGTGGAACACACAAGAAGAAAAAGTAAATAGAACTTACCCATTTTCGACCCTTTGGCACTATTGACTTGCTCTCTCCCACACAAATATAAAGGTCACGTTCCCAGATTCGCTGCAAAATTTCACGTGACCTTTTCATTTTATCAGAGTCTGAGTCCGAATCCAAGATTTTGTGCAGAATCCCATCATTGAGGTGCATGTAACAGGCCATATCATCAACACAATCAGACATTCTGTAACAGTGGTCAACAACAACCGAAAAAAAGCACATCTGAACACTGGATTCAATGACAATAAATGTTTATAACATTAACTTTATCTCTTCATAATTTGGTATACTGTTTGTTTCATTAAAAAAAAAGTGTACCACATTTCAGACTGTGTGACATGAAAAACTGGCATGTGATAAAACGTACTGATTTACTTTGTTATTCTTCCCCACCATATTCAAAATCTCTATCCCCAAGTCAAATCAACACTGTCGAATAATGTTACAAGTACTGGAATCACAGAGACAGACTTTGAAACCATCAAAAGAAACACCATCATTCGAAGAAAAATGGAAAATTACTATTATAAGCTTTGAAAGGAATGCGTATACTGTTTTTTTAGGTATCGTACAAGACATGCAAACTGTAGCAACTTAGTTGCACGCCACCAGTGTGCAAAGTATTCTAGGTTAGAATATTATTGTTTTAGTATTAGTGCGCACATATGTATAAAAGTCTTGCGAATAAATGTTAATTTTGTCTGCATTGAGTACACAACTCGACATCCTGTGAAGTTACTACAAAACAAACATTTTATGCAATCAAATAGAACAATTCTGGCTTGTCCGCAAGTTCAATAGAACTTTAATTTTGAACATAAAGAGACATGTGAGGAAAGTCAGGAAAAGGCACAAAAGATATATCAGGCTACCAAGAAAAGCTTTTCCAGTTCGGACATATAACCACTGAAAGCTGATATTTCATTTAACAAAATGGAGAGATAGAGGGCTATTGTCTACTGAGCTACTTCAAGGTAACATAAAGTTGAAAAAAAGAGAGAAATACAAAGTCTGTCTAGCGGCAGAATATAGTTTCAGGTCAAATATTAAAAGTGGATAAATATAATTTTTTTTATAGTAGTGAAAAAAACTAATTGTTAAGGGCATTCTTTGACGACATGAAAATTCATATCATATCAAATCCCGCTGAACATCCACAAACACACAAAAAAGATTTGATCTGTCATTCGATTCAGTACATTCTTTCTAAGAACACGGCCATTTTGAATGAACTCTGTAGATTGTCGCGGCAGACCTTAGGAGATGAGCTTTCTATGACTCAATAACTTGGTCAAAGCATTCCCAGACAATTAAAATTTAATCGTCAGTAGCAGTCTGGTGGCAACGAAAGTGCTGATCTCATCGACACTTGCCAGTAATAGGGTTAAGAACATTACATGATGTAACAAAAAAAAGACCATTACAGCAAAGAGGGCCATTACACAGAAGATCCCCAAAAGCCTCTTGAGAATTTGTAGAAAAAGTAGACCGACAAAGTACAGCTGCCTCTTTTTTTAGGACAAAAGGAGACCTCACATATAACAGGAATCAAAACATAGCCATGCCTAGGCAAGCATGAAGTACTCTGCTGTTTCACAAATACAACAAATGATTAAGTAACAGATGGAAAAAAATTCTTCTCACCTCTTGCCACGAACCAGACACTCTTCATTGGCAGCCACAAGGGCATCAGTCATCCTGAGAAGAAACATGCAGTTTTGAATGGTCTCCAAGTTATCTCTATACATTTTAATGATAAAAGTTAAGTTGCAAACTCCCCCATCCCCACCCATTCAAACAAAACCCTTGACCTATTGCACAGATCTGAGGTCACCTGAACGCCACAGTGAGGTAGCCTTCCTTACACGAGAAATGAGCCCATCTCTTTTGGGTCCAATAGTGATCAGCCCATCTATTACATCTCAGACTGTAAAGTTACCAGAGTTTTAGTGAAGTGGTAGACAACTCTCTAAAATTACTTTCGTAACTTGAAGAGGCAGTCCTTACACATTCAGCTTATTCATGATGTACTATTATGATTTATTTCTACTATGCGCAAAAAGGTACATCATCATCCAGTGCCAGATCTGCGACAGACATCGGCGATCATGATTTTCCATTCATTCCTTTGCTCGGATGCTCTCAGAAAAGCTATGTTTCCCTGATTTTTCCCTGTTACCCATTTGTTCAGGTTCCCTAAGTATGTTGTTCTGGGCCTACCCCTGCCTCGCTTGCCCTCAATTTTGCCAGTGAGAGCTAGATGTTCAAGACCCTTATGTCTATTCAGGTGTCCCAAAAACTGCATTTGTCGTTTCCTGATTGTTTTTAACATTGAGCGTCCCACGTGGGCTTCATCAAGCACTACCTCATTTGATTTCTTTTCCTTCCACGATACTTATAGCAGTCTCCTAAGAAACCACATTTCTGTTGCCTCTATTTTATTTTCACTGTCTTTATTGATTGTCCAGCATTCACAGCCATATAGAAGGGTTGACCAAACATAGCATTTCAGGACTTTCATTTTGGTGTTCATTGATATGTTTCTATTTTTCAGGATTGGGCTCATTTTTATTGAAACTAGCCTTAGCCATTGCAGTTCTCCTTTTTATTTCTGCGGAAGATTTGGCATCAGATGTTATCATATATCCTAGATATTTAAACTGTTGGACTTGTTTGATCTTTTCACCTTTGCTAATGAGATTACAACTAGGATTTGCTGCTTTTTTGGATATTACCATGCATTCTGTTTTCTTTACATTCAACAATAATCCTTTATGTTCACTTTCTTTTACAACATTATCTAGAAGCATTTGAAGGTCCTTTTCGGAGCCTGCTATTAAAACCGTGTCATCTGCATACCTGATGTTATTAATATTTTCTCCATTAACTTTGAGGCCTGGACATTCTTCTATGTTTCTAAGGATTGTTTCACTGTACATATTAAAGAAGTCTGGTGACATAACACATCCTTGCCTCACTCCTCGCCTAATCTGCTTATATTCACTGTATTCTCCATTAATTCGTACAGCAGCGTTTTGGTCCCAGTACAAATTTCTGATAATTCTTAGATCTTTTCCATCTATGTCTAGCTTTTCCAGTATTTTAAATAGCTCATCATGTCTAACTTTATCGAACGCCTTTGAATAATCTATGAAGCATAAATACAGATCTTTCTGTGCTTCAATACATCTTTCCATTAACATTTGTAAAGTGAATATAGCATTTCTGGTGCCCTTGTCAGGAACAAAGCCGAATTGCGTTTTAGATATCTCTGGTCTTACACTTTTTCTCAATCTTCCCATTGTTACTCGCAACAATATTTTTGTAAAATGACTCATAAGGCTAATTGTTCTATGCATATCACACTCAGTGGCACCTGGTGTTTTAGGTAAAGCTATAAAAACTGACTTCATCATATCTTCTGGGATCTCACCGCTGTCATAAATAGCATTTAGGAGCTTTGTTGTTATTTCAGTGCCTAGTTCTTCGAGCCCGACAATCACTTCAACTGGAATATTATCTGGCCCTGTGGCTTTTCCTTGTTTCATTTTCCTAATGGCAGCTTGTACTTCTGCTTTCAGTATTGGAGGTCCATTTATTTCATTTTTTTATTACCGGTTTTTCTCCTCTATTATCTTTGAAAAGTTCTTCTATGTATTCTGACCATCTGTTTAAGACATCCCCTTTGTCCATTAAAATATCCCCTCCCTTTGATCTTATGCATCCTGTATTTGAGCATCCTTTTATCCCACTTACTTCTTTGATTTTTGAATGCATGTATTTGCTGTCTTTGTTTTGGTTCTTCTCTATTTGTTGACACTGATCGTTTATCCATGTTTCTTTTGCTTCGTTGCATTTTTTCTTTATTTTCCTGTTCAAGATGTTGTACCTTTCTACATTTGATTTTGCCTTTCTTCTCTCTTCCATTTAATATGTCCTGGGTCATCCATTTTTTATTTGCTTTTTTAGCTTTCAGGGGGGGGGGGGGGGGGGGGGGGGGACATTTTCTTCCACAGCTTCCATTATTGAGTCTTTCATTTTCCTCCATAGTTCTTCCGATTTAGTAATGTTTTCCAAAGCTTGAAATTTATTTCTTACATCTATGGAGAAACATTCTTTCATTTCTTGATTTGTCTTTAAAAGACCTATGTCAAATTTATGTTCATACTTTGACTTTTTGAGTTTCTTTAGTCGTATCCGGATTTTACACACGACTGGTACATGATCACTATCACAGTCTGCTCCTGGCATTGATTTAGATGATTTTATTGTGTTTCTAAAAAGGTACAGCCCCAGTTAAAAAATGTCTTTATTGAACAGAGACCAAAGATTGGAACCTCTCACACAGGGCTCCATAATGACAATACGGCTCTCCACAATGCAAAGACCAAACTCTGCCCAATCAAGAGAAAGAGATCTGAGTTTTTGCCTCATCTAGCCTACAGTCCTAACTTAGCTCCCTGTGAATTTTTGCTATTTCCAAATATGAAAGATAAGCTTGTTGGACAAAAGTTTGAACATATTCAGAACTAAACAAGAGAAGTCAATAAGAGCTGAAAAAGCATACTGGAAGCTGACCACTGCTGTGCCCTCCAGGAGTGGCCTTGAAGGCTGAAATCCAGGATACAACAAAGCTGATTTCAATGGACGGCAAATGTCAGGTCCATAGCATCAAAAGTTTTTTAAAGATATTTTACAACTTCCATTACGCTTTGATCCAACACAATGCAGCTACATTGAGTAAAGCTCACCCCTTTTTCGATGAGAAAGATACCCCTGTGATCTTCAAATGGATCTAACTGACCTGCAGTGCAATTCTGAACTTGCAGGTTAAGTTTAGGAGGGTGAAAAGACAGGCAGATAAGCTTGGTCAGTTTTTTAGAGAATTGTCCCCCAGCTTCTCGGAGCTAGTGACTTTTTGGTGGCACATATCTATATGAACAACTCTTTCCCACAATGAACTTTAATAAGTCAAAGTACAGATCCAAATTTACTGCTGAGCATCTTCAAGCCATACTGAGTCTCACTTGCTTCCTTGTAAAAGGCAATGTGGCTAACCTATACAAGAGGAAGCGTTTCCGGGTCTCTGGCAGCAGGCAGTAGGTAAAAGAGGCTAATGTTCTAAAACAGTTCTAGTTCTGAACAGTTTCTGACAAAGATTTTGAGTTTGTTTTGTTTGTTTATCAGTGTAAAGAGAAGCAAACTGACATAATCAAGGTCATTTACTCCTGGGAAAAAGTAAGACATACATACAGAAACAACAGAGGTAAAGTAAAGAAGTATGACATACCAGTGGCGCCCTCCAACCACCCACAAAAAGATTGTGCAGATTACATCAGTTGTACTTTTTTCTTTCTATACTCGAAACCTTTCTTTGGTGGAATACTCGATGCCGCTCAAGTTCATCCAGACAGAACCTCCAGAGGCCTCTAATTTATTTGAGTTTGAGACCCCTGGTCAAAAGGTTAGTGAATCCAGGCTCAGAGACAGTGCCAAGCAGTGCAGAAGACACATTTTTCAATGGGTGGCCACTTCCTTAAACATGTAAAATATCTTAACTAAAAAAAAACAGGGGCCTCATGCTGCGATGCCCTATCAATGAAATCATTTGTAGTGGAGTGATGTGTTGCACTATTAAAGGAGCTACAACTTGTGAATATAAATCATACACACTTATACATACTCAATATATTAAATACCAATGAAACAATGTATTTCTGCAGTGACAAGCAGTAGTGTTATTTTTCCTTTCTCTTCTTTGTCTGCATGAACATTCGAAGGAACAGTCCCCTTGTAACTGAGAACATGTCAATAATGAGACCCCCCAACCCCTTTCCCTCCTCTATGAAAACAACGACTACTGTCAGACTTTTTTGTATATTTTAACACCAACCCATTTTAGGCCCATTCAGAAATGCCAAAACTAACCCTAGAGCAATAGGCATAAAATTTCATACACATGGTGTAATTTTTTGAAAAATAAATCCCTACCCACATCAGCACAACACAATGACTCACATTAGATCGATTGCACAGTTCACCTTGTGCTGGTATGCATAACAGTGCAGTTTGTAGCGGGTCAGAAACATTTGGTAGATATCATCAATCAGCTGATAGGGATAAATAGATCAGACATACTTTATGTACATGTAATCTTATGAAAACTGTGAAATAGATCAGACATACTTTATGTACATGTAATCTTATGAAAACTGTGAAATGAATCAAATGTTTCAATTTGTCTATAAAATATGCACCTGGCCTAGCTTCTTTGAGCTGCACTGCAGATGTAGCAAAAGAAAAACATTTTCCTTCTTGTTTTACTTCTGACTTTTTGTAGTTGAACACAAAACGAAAGAAATGCACACAACTGTCCAGAGTTCTATAACCTGTAGTGCAGTGATGGGGTAAGTTTCACTTTAGATTTGATAGATTAATTAATAATGCTTCTGTTTATTTCATTTGTACAAGTGTGAACAATTTTGCATCACAAAATTTTAATTATAACCAAAATAGAGGTCTATACTTGTACTTGTCATTTCCTGTGCTGATGCCATAGCCTTGTTTTTCAAACTCGGATGTTATGCTTAGTGAAAATAGAACATAGTGGGGTGTATATATATATGATATATATACGTGTGTGTGTGTGTGTGTGTGTGTGTGTGTGTGTGTGTGTGTGTGTGTGTGAGTGTGTGTGTGTGTCACGGCGCAGTGGAATCAGGCACTCGTCAATTTTTGGGCAGGTTAAGTTATTAGTATCATCCGAAAGCTGATTTATTTGCCTTGCTTCCAATGAAATAAATATCCATCTATCTTGAATAGCACTCAAGATATTTGCGATTGAAGGAAGTGAGGTCACCTAGTTTCAGTGGTGAAATTAGCAAGAAAATGGCTGCCAACGTTTGGTAACTCCAATAGCTAAAGAGGCCTTGAAAACAGGAAAAATGGCATATTTTGTGCCTTTAATATTAATCAATGTTTTTCAGTAAAATTCACATGGAAATGTTTTTATATGGACATAAAAGAGGTTGAGCCCAAAAATAAAAATTATATAAAAATTTCCAAACTTGAGGAAAAAGGCCTGTTTCTCCAATTTCTGTATTTTGACGAGCGCCTCATTTCACCATGCTGCCTCACATATATATGAGGGGGTGAGATGCAAAACCCGCTAAATCGAGATTTTTTGCTTATAAATGCACGTTGTCACTGGCTATTCTGTCCCCGTAGGATTATGCGATTGTGCGCCCGCAGCGCGGCCTAATTTTGGATTATCCGCGTTTTTTCCCTTTTTTTTCCCCACAAAACAGTTAACACCTCGCCATGTGACTAAAGGGACGTAATCACCGTAATAACTCTCATTAAAGTGAAAAGTTGGTTATTTCCCTTGTTAGACGATCTTGGTTATGGGTTGTGATTTTGTTCCTTGAGCATGTTCAATTTTTCAATCTATCAAAAGTTGTTGTTCTCATGTCTGCTGATGTTTCATGTTTGACAGGTGTCCCTGGTTTTAGTAATGACAGTAATGTGCCAGCATCCGAGGTCCAGATGTCCTTTTTTACATTTTTCTTTCCTCTATAGATCTAGATCTAGATCTAGATCTACAGCTGAAAGTTACAGAGATTATTATTTTTGGTTGCATTTTATTTTTTTCCTGATGTGTATTGTTTTCTTTTCCAAACTACTGATACTGATATGTTCTGCTTTCAATTTTTCTGTACATAAAACATGAAAATCATGAAACTTCGCGTTGAAAAAGTGCAAAACATGTCGCGAATGGTGTTACGGCAACTTGCATAATTTTGGCATAATTTTGCTTTTTTGTGTGCATAATTTGGCCTTCTAAATTTGCATAATTCTACGGGGACAGGCTATTAGAGGCACAAAGTGTTTTCGGCAAAACCCAACAATTACTTCATAAAAGCCACACATAAACCTTTTTAGGCATGTTCATACATATAGCAGATTTTTAAAAAGCTGATTTTCTCAAAAGTGCTAAAATGGAAATAGCGGGTTTTTCATCTCAGCCCCTCGTATACATGTATATATACAGTCAAACCTGCCTTAATGGAAACCTGTGTAAGACGGAAACCTGTCTTAACAGAATCTCCCCGCTCCCCCCTTGAAAAATTCCTCTTTAATTTCCTGTACATAACGCAAACCTGTCCAACGTGGAAAGGGAAAGGAAAATCCGCTCGCTTACGAGGGTTTTGCCTGTCTAAGACGGAAAATGCTTTACCTGCTCAGCCCTGACATGAAACAAAACTCGCAATTTGGTTCCGGCGGCTCTATACTTTACACCCTGCTGCCAGGCGAGAAAGGGGAGTATGGGTGCAAAATGGGGGTAGATATTACCACATCTATGTGAGCCTCAAGCGGAGCAGATGGGCAGGGTGATGTTGGTGGGAAATCTTATCAGTGCCTGTAAAAGCTCGAGTGGCGCTCCGGCACGGAAGCTTTCATGGGTAACCAGAGGCCAGAGATATGAAATCTGTTTGACCAATGCTTGCTGTCCTGATCCTACGTCCAGCCGAGAAAAGACTTCCTCGAATTGTTGTTACATGGCAGTAAGGGGTGGCATTGGTTGACTGCTTGTTACACAGATGGGTGGGGCTAAGGGTGGAAGCAAAGAAAATGTTCAAACGTTTCTGTTTTTAACAGGTCAAACAGTGGACCTATGAAATGCAAGCACTGGTCGCGATGGATTTACTTTAGTAAGACTGACGCAAGGCATTATCAGAGAGGATAGCACTTGAGTGAGAGGGGTGAAGGTTTGACCACTGCTTACCGACTGGACAAGCGACCCTTGATCCCATCGGCTGGGCCTTTGAAATCCCCCTCCATCTCTCCCTAAATTCCCCTGGCTAAGACAGAAATTTTTTCTGGCTTCTTTGAGATTCCGTCTTACACAGGTTCGACCGTGTGTGTAATAATATA